TCATTATTCGTCTGTCTCTGTTTGGCTTCTTGGTTTCACACACAGTTTGGTTTCTTAAGAAATCAACAATGGGGTTAGTGTGTGTGTTTGTGTGAAATAGAATAGAATCAAATAGATTGGAATAGAATAGATTGGAATAGAATACAATGGAATACAATAGATTGGAATAGAACACAATAGAATAGATTGGAATAGAATAGATTGGAATAGAATAGAATAGATTGGAATAGAATAGAGTGGAATAGAAAATAATGGAATAGAACAGATTGGAATAGAATAGATTGGAATAGAATAGAATATTGCTCATACATTATGGTTGTGAGAACAAGAGACATGCATACTGCTATAGTACATGTAGTTGTAGATACTAAAGTAGATGTAGTTGTTGATACTATAGTAGATGTAGTTGTAGATACTATAGTAGATGTAGTTGCAGATACTAAAGTAGATGCAGTTGTAGATACTATAGTACATGTAGTTGTAGATACTGTAGTAGATGTAGTTGTAGATACTATAGTAGATGTAATTGTAAATACTATAGTATTAGTTGTAGATACTATAGTACATGTAGTTGTAGATACTGTAGTAGATGTAGTTGTAGATACTATAGTAGATGTAGTTGTAGATACTATAGTAGATGTAGTTGTATATACTATAGTAGATGTAGTTGTAGATACTATAATATTAGTTGTAGATACTATAGTACATGTAGTTGTATATACTATAGTAGATGTAGTTGTAGATACTATAGTATATGTAGTTGTAGATGCTATAGTAGCTGTAGTTGTAGATACTATAGTAGATGTAGATACAATAGTAGATGTAGTTGTAGATACTATAGTAGGTGGTCCTCTGTAGCTCAGCTGGTAGAGCACGGCGCTTGTAACGCCAGGGTAGTGGGTTCGATCCCCGGGACCACCCATACACAAAAAAAAATTATGCACGCATGACTGTAGTCGCTTTGGATAAAAGCGTCTGTTAAATGGCATATGATAGTTGTAGATACTATAATAGATGTAGTTGTAGATACAATAGTAGATGTAGTTGTAGATACTATAGTAGATGTAGTAGTAGATACTATAGTAGATGTAGTTGTAGATACTATAGTAGATGTAGTAGTAGATACTATAGTAGATGTAGTTGTAGATACTATAGTAGATGTAGTTGTAGATACTATAGTAGATGTAGTAGTAGATACAATAGTAGATGTAGTTGTAGATACTATAGTAGATGTAGTAGTAGATACTATAGTACATGTAGTTGTAGATACTATAGTACATTTACTGTTGAAGTCGGAAGTTTACATACACTTAGGTTGGAGTCATTAAAACTCGTTTTTCAACCACTCAACAAATTTCTTGTTAAAAAACTATAGTTTTGGAAAGTCGGTTAGGACATCTACTTTGTGCATGAAACAAGTAATTCTTCCAACAATTGTTTACAGACAGATTATTTCACTTATAATTCACTGTATCACAATTCCAGTGGGTCAGAAGTTTACTTACACTAAGCTGACTGTGCCTTTAAACAGCTTGGAAAATTCCAGAAAATGATGTCATGGCTTTAGAAGCTTCTGATAGGCTAATTGACATAATTTGAGTCAATTGGAGGTGTACCTGTGAATGTATTTCAAGGCCTACCTTCAAACTCAGTGCCTCTTTGCTTGACATCATGGGAAAATCAAAGGAAATCATCCAAGACCTCCGAAAATAGATTGTAGACCTCCACAAGTCTGGTTCATCCTTGGGAGAAATGTCCAAATGCCTGAAGGTTCCACGTTCATCTGTACAAACAATAGTACGCAAGTATAAACACAATGGGACCACGCAGCCGTCATACCGCTCAGGAAGGAGACGCGTTCTGTCTCCTAGAGATGAACGTACTTTGGTGCGAAAAGTGCAAATGAATCCCAGAACAACAGCAAAGGAACTTGTGAAGATGCTGGAGGAAACAAGTACAAAAGTATCTATATCCACAGTAAAACGAGTTCTATATCAACATAACATGAAAGGCCGCTCAGCAAGGAAGAAGCCACTGCTCCAAAACCGCCATAAAAAAGCCAGACTACGGTTTGCAACTGCACATGGGGACAAAGATCGTACTTTTTGGAGAAATGTACTCTGGTCTGATGAAACAAAAATAGAACTGTTTGGCCATAATGACCATTGGTATGTTTGGAGGAAAAAGGGGGTTGCTTGCAAGGCGAAGAACACCATCCCAACCGTGAAGTACAGGGGTGGCAGCATCATGCTGTGGGGGTGCTTTGCTGCAGGAGGGACTGGTGCACTTCACAAAATAGATGGCATCATGAGGAAGGAAAAGTATGTGGGTATATTGAAGCAACATCTCAAGACATCAGTCAGGAAGTTAAAGCTTGGTCGCAAATGGGTCTTCCAAATGGACAATGACCCCAAGCATACTTCCAAAGTTGTGGCAAAATGACTTAAGGACAACAAAATCAAGGTATTGGAGTGGCCATCACAAAGCCCTGACCTCAATCCTATAGAAAATGTGTGGGCAGAACTGAAAAAGCGTGTGCGAGCAAGGAGGCCTACAAACCTGACTCAGTTACACCAGCTCTGTCAGGAGGAATGGGCCAAAATTCACCCAACTTATTGTGGGAAGCTTGTGGAAGGCTACCCGAAACGTTTGACCCAAGTTAAACAATTGAAAGGCAATGCTACCAAATACTAATTGAGTGTATGTAAACTTCTGACCCACTGGGAATGTGATGAAATAAATAAAAGCTGAAATAAATAATTCTCTCTACTATTATTCTGACATTTCACATTCTTAAAATAAAGTGGTGATCCTAACTGACCTAAGACAGGGATTAAATGTCAGGAATTGTGAAAAACTGAGTTTAAATGTATTTGGCTAAGGTGTATGTAAACTTCCGACTTCAACTGTAGCTGTAGATGCAGTACATGTAGTTCTAGATACATATTAGACCCTTTTTAATAAATTGATTATTCCAATATTGTCCCAATATAAAGCCTTTATTCACAACATATTCAAGCGTTGTTCGGCCCGACTCGCAATTAATTAGAAAAGGCTCCAGAGCGATAATCAGTGCAATATATGAAATTCAAAAAGTAAAATTCAAGATCATGAAATGTGTGTCAGGCTAAATCAGATATGTATATCATGAATACAGTAAGAATGCGGTGGCATTTAGTCCGGTGCATAACACATGGAGATCTGCTGCTACTCTGTCTCTCTAAATGTGTTCAGTATGTCCCCTATATCATCGGTGACACACCAGTGACATGGCATAAATCAACCATGACTTTGTCACGTCCCAAATATGTGCTGTGTAGGCATCTGTGTTTTCCTAGCCTCCCCTTTAAAGGCCTAGTGCTATCAAAAACGTGATTTTCCTGTGTTTTATATATATTTCCACGCTATGAGGTTGGAATAATAGTGTGAAATTGTGAAAAGTATGATAATACCGTTTTAGTGTAAGAGCTGTTTTAAAATACTGCCTGAAATTTCAGCCTGTTTTGGTGGGATGGAGTTTCACCAGGCAGTAAATTAGTTAATAGACCAATAAGAGAGTTCCAAACCTCTCTGCCAATAACAGCTAGTTTTTTCAGTTTTCCCCTCCCAACTCAGACCACTCCCAGACAGGCCTAGCAAAATTCTTGCTTGAGAAAAGAAGCTATTTTTGTTTCTTTTTGATCATTTTAATTTAAAACAATCACAGTAAGGTACTTAATCGTTACCCAGAAATGATTTGATATTGAGATAAAAACGACTGCATTGGACCTTTAAGGAGAAGATGTTACTCTCTTCACCACCACCGCCACATTTAGAGGATACTCTTATGCTGGCCATCTCTCCTCTCTCAATGCCCAGCTATGGTGAACTTCACAGACTGAGCAATTGTCTCTCTTTCTCTACCTCCATTATTTTCTCGATATCTTCATCTCTCCCCCTCCCCCGATGTCCATCCATCCTTCTCGCTCCCTCCAGCCTCCATTCTCTCTCTCTCTCTCTCTCTCTCTCTCTCTCTCGCTCTATCTATCTATCTATCTATCTATCTATCTATCTATCTATCTATCTATCTATCTATCTATCTATCTATCTATCTATCTATCTATATATATATCTATCTATCTATCTATCTATCTATCTATCTATCTATCTATCTATCTATCTATCTATCTATCTATCTATCTATCTATCTATCTATCTATCTAGCTATATATCTATCTATCGCTACTCTCTAAGCTGTTGAGACCCCGCCGGGCTTGTGGAGGTCACGATGGCTTCATCAAGTGACCCCCATATCACACACAGACACAGACACAGACACACACACAGCCCCCATACTGGCTGATGGCCTTTCCTCTTCTCTGATCCATATTTCAGAGGCTGCATCAGTGGGGCTCTAAGGGGCTAAGCAGGGATGAAACGCAGGGAGGGAGAGTGGAGAGCACAGCCAAGGAAATAGGCCTTTACAGTTAAGCAAACTGGGTTCCACATTTACCATTTTAAAAGTACCAAGGCAGTGGCATTGTACAAATAATGTCATTGCGGACCCTTACAGAAAAATCACATGATTTATCATGTGGAAAATCACATGATCATGTGAAAATTAGTTATTGGAACACTTCACATGTGATCACATGTTTTTACATGTCTGGTTTCAAGTTATCACATTATCACATTAACTTCACATAAGATCACATGTGATCACATGAAAACATGTGTTTTTGGAACACCATGTGATTACATGTGAAATTCAGTTTTCTTAGTTGTCTCGTTTTTGCACATAATCACTTACCGGTTACCTACCTGCATGACAAGCAAAGCCAATTGAATTGGAGAGTTTGGGTTACATTGGGTTCAGTGCTGCACATTGGCTATGGTCTATGGAATATCATAATTGTTGTAAATCATGCAACACGGAAAACTATATATTTGATTATATTTGATGACTGTTGACAGACCTAGGCTACTGAATAAAGATAATAAAAATAAATCAAAGTCTATGACCACGATTGAGTTTATTTCTCGAAAATATATCCTTTAAACAAATTATTTACATGTCGATAACTTTTTCATAGAAAATAAAACAGAAAACAAACATACACAGCAAAGACAAACATTGCGAGTATAAATGGCAATACGGAAAATGTGTGTGATCAAAAACACAGGCCTATAGGCTATGAATGTTGTCTCGCATCATATAGGCCTATTGTTTCAAAATCTGACGAGTTGAAATCTTACGTTTCACTCACAAAAATAGTAGACTATTCGATAAATTGCTCTTCGTTAAATAATTATTCCAGATTATTCTCCGATGATAACTCTTCACTGTTCATATTGTGGAAATGGTCGAGAGGGCCCGCTGCGCCGTTCCGTGGTGAGATCTTTTGATGAAGAGAAAAGAAAAGAAAATACAAACGTCAGAAAATGTAAATGAGTGTGACATTGAATAATTCATTTCCTATAATTATATTGCTATCAGGCCTATTTCATATCCTCCCTCAACATATGTGTATTCACGGGCAACGCGTGAATAAATTGAGGGTATATTTAAATTGCGTGAACGATGATAAGTCAATGGCGCCGGTTCCAACCCTGATGGCCATATTAAACGGTGTCTAGTGAGCCGTTGAAAGCCGTTAAAGTAGACCGATTAGATCTCTTCAGATGATTTATGAGCTCGAGCTGTGACAGGCCAGTCGGTCAGGTGAAACCGCCTTTACTGGCGGGTTAAAAGGTTCATTTACCGGGTGATTAAAATAGATGGCACATGACATAATGTCACCGTGAGGTTTGAAATATCCTACCTGTCGGTAATCAGCTGGAAGGGAGACTTCGGCGAGCCAGACCTGCGAATATTCACGTCATCTGTAAACAAATAAACAATCAGACAAATAAACAATCAGACAAATCAGTAAAATAATCAATAGGCTATCCTTAGTAGGCCTATTTTGAATTAGGCCATACCTGTTTTTAATGCAATATTATTTGAGTGATGTAACTGTAACTGGTTCGAAATATATGTATGTGACCAATACAATTTGACCAATACAATTTGATTGTTGTTTATTAGGCGATAGGCTATATTAGGTTATAGCTGATTGATAACATTTCAGTTTTCAGAAATATCATAATAAATACACAACATGAATTGAAACGAGTGTTAGATCAAAATGGTGTACCATATTTGGAAAGGTTATTTGAAAAACTGAAGGATAACACTGGGCCGAATTCATGAGACTGTTATTCATTTCCAAGCAGATGAAAACTAGCCTATAATCACAATCATAAACAGATGTAAGCCTAAGCCTAGGCTACAGTACATACCATCTCGCTTTGGACTGAAGCTCTCCGACGACTCATCTCCACTCTCCTCCTCTGTGCACGATGCCCCTGATGCCTGCGTCAACCGCGCATCCTGATGCTTCAGCGCGCCATGGAGAGGCATGTGGTGTCCGGCTGGGTTTACCGCGCCGAGAAGCGACCTGACGCCCAGCAGAGAGTTGGCACTGAGGAACGCCGCATTGGCCCAGTTGTGGAGCTGCTTCCCGATCTGGCAAGTGTATATTCCATGACCCGGGAGTAGGGCCGGGTGGTGGGAGGGGATCGTGGCCTGGTGAGGACCTGAGACAGCCGGGGAAGGTTTGATGGAACTGTCAGGGCTTGTGGCCGTCTCCGCCAGAGACCAGATTTTGGGTTTGTTCTGTGGGGGCCTCTGGCACAGCGGTGCATTGGGGGAAAGATCCACTGCGTTTTTACAAGCACCAACAGGCGCCTTAATGAGAGAAATAGGCCCCTCCATACTTCTGAGGGCCCTGACAGACATCGTCCTCTGGCTCTCCAAGATACCCGAATCCGATGCGTCCCTGGCGGCCAGCTTCCCCTCTCCCTCCACTTCCCTCTGATCGCCGGGGTTCTCCTCGACTTTATCTATGTCGATACTTTCTAAATCGATCTCCTCCTCTTCTTCATCCTCGCTCCCGTGTTTTTCAGGCTCGTCCTCATTGTCGCTGCTGAAGATCCGTCCGTCCCGGTCCTCCGCGCTGCGGCCCCACGTCACCTTGTTCTCCTTCTTCAGACGCCGGCGCGCGTTGGCGAACCACGTGGACACCTGAACAGATGAAGGAATTAATTAATATACTTTATGGATCCTTTATTACAAATATTGATAATTAGGTTAATCAAATCGTCAAATGAGTTTATCTTAAACTGGCAGAGATAACAAAAGCACAGACACAACACACTGACAGACAGAACACATTCAAAGTAGGCTGTTTTCCCGGTCAAATCATGTAGGCCTAGTAGCCGGGAAATACTCCTGGCCTAAACCTTTTTATTCCCCATAGCAGTAAACCTTTATGTCTGTATACCTGTGTGAGTGTCATCTTGGTGATGATGGCCAGCATGATCTTCTCTCCCTTGGTGGGGTACGGGTTCTTCTGGTGCTCCTGCAGCCAGGCCTTCAGAGTGCTGGTGGTCTCCCTCGTAGCGGCCTTGGCTCGGTTCGGGTCGCCGTAGCCATACTGGCCGTACGGGTAGAACCCTGCGCTGGCGTGGACAGCCAGACCTCCCGGGTGAGCTCCTGGGCTGTCCTTCAGATCGTACTGAGGGTTCTGGGGGATAGAGAGGGGAATGTAATAGTTCCAGGCCTATTCGTTTTTTAAAAAAATACTTGAATAAGCTATTGGCTTTCCAATTCAAAATAAGTTTACAGTATGCTGTGTATTATGACTGAATCTAACAAGTCCTGACAAAAAATGTTTTCACACTTTCAGAATGTGTAGGATATCTCCTAAAATAATTAACAACAACATTACGGTAAGCTATTATTATTATTTTTAAATAGTGTAGGTTATGGAGAGTTTGTTTCGGACTATTTCAAACAAGCACGATATCACAAATTTCGTATAGCGTATTGGTCCTATTTTCATCGTTTACCCAAACTTGAAAAAAATTGCCTAAATAATTCAACAACATTGACAGTATGAATATATAAATCAAACTTTAAATTATATCAAATTGAAAATTGATTATGAGGGTTGATTATATGCTAAATAATGTATAATTAGCCTACATAATGTCTCTCATGTCTAATTGTTTGTTTATCCTAATTGTACTATTTCTGAAGCAACATTAAATTGCAAAATAACTAGAAAAGTTCAACCATAAGCCTCGTGTAACTCTTGTATCTTATAAAAATAGGCTCGACTACCCAGTGAAAATATGCAAACGATGTTTTATCAACTAGCCTTAGCCTAAATTTAGACGTTTGGTATTGGACCATGAATAATAAACCACACAATTCCATGAACTATTTTTGTAATAATTTCAAGACCAGGCGTTTCAGTTTCGAAAAACATGATAGTTGACAGAACTTCAAATTGAATAAAGGTCCAAATATAAAATAATGATCCTATTACAATCCCATAATATTACATTTTCCAATCCAATAAATCAAATTCACTTGCATGCATTTAACCGGCGTGCACATTCCATAGACACATGAGAAACAATCACTTTCGAACAAAGTTTCAAATCTACATTCCAAGAAAACGTTTTCTCCTACCATTTGCGATATGAGGGCGAGGTCTGCACCGCTGTAGGGGAGAAACGCGCTGTAGTTCTGAGCCGCCCACGGGTTACCATACATCCCCAGCATCGAGCTAACAGCAGCGGCAGTAGCTGCCTGATTCACGCCGCCATCGGCGCCTCCATCCCGGCCTGAGCCGGCCCGTTCGACCCCGTAAACCTCCTGGGAGTCACTTAGGAACTGGGGGTACCCCAGCTGCGAGAAAGACATGTCCGGAGAGAAAGGCTCAGTAAATCTCTCTGTCTCTCTTCTGTGTCAAAGGGGAGGAAAGGAAAATAGGAGGAATTCCCAGTTTCCCAGAAAGATAAGGATGTCTAAATCACAAATCACGGTTAGTCACTAGTCAGCCAGTCAGTCAGTCAGTCAGACAGTCCCACTCCCCGACAGCGCAGCAAGCTCCAGTGGTAGTGATGAGTTTGGAACTTGAGCGCACAGTCAAGCCTTTCTCTCTCCCCGCAGGACTCTCTCTAGTGGAGCTGACGGGATGATTGGCAGGCTACTTAAAAACCAAGCCCCTCCTATGCCCCGGGCAAGAGATTAGTGCATTGGTTCGTTCGCTGGGTCGTGTGTGTGTGTGTGTGTGTGTGTGTGTGTGTGTGTGTGTGTGTGTGTGTGTGTGTGTGTGTGTGTGTGTGTGTGTGTGTGTGTGTGTGTGTGTGTGCGTGTGTGTGTGTGCGTGTGTGTTTCTAAGAGATGGAGAGATATCTATTTTCTCATAATCACCTTTCTGTCGTTTTTGAATGGGTGCTCAAATAAACAATGAAAAGAAACAACAGCAAAACAGCAAGAATGATAACAACAATAGAACCACTAATATTAATACTAAATAAAGGTCTGATAATATAAAGGGGCATAAAAACAATAATAATGCATCTATATAATAGTTTGTATTATATAGCCTAATAAATAAGATAAATAAATAATGTAGGCCGATAACAAAGGCATTTTTGCATTCATTTGAGCCTAGCCCATTTCTAAATCTATTTCAAAACTATTCCTAACTGCTCTTATGGTGCATTATACTTTCTTGCTACATTATAATTAAGCCTAAATATATAAGTGGTCCTGTGAGACTGCGACACTGTAGAACCGCTCAAGAGGAGTATCGTCAACAGCATGGACACCAGATGGCCAAGGGAAGCGTTGACTCCGCCGGCCACAGATACCGCGGAATGTCGGGGGATATCGACGGAAGTCACTAAAGCATATTTTCAGATTTAAGATAAAGATAAGAGGGGCGAGAAAGAAGGAGAAGAGATGGAGGGAAGAGATTGTGTAGATACGTGTCACGAGGTCTGTGCAGGGAAGGATGACAGATGTTGAGAGAGTTTGTAGTAAAGCTAGGAAAATATATCTATCTATTTATAAGCAGAATGTAGCTATATAACAACATATGAGTTTGTGGTACTGTATATCAACACGTTTTCAAAGATTAGTCTATTTTCTACCGCAACTTTCCTTACAGGTGTAAGCTAATATTTAGCCAAATATTTCATGTTTTAGACATATGTGAAATTTGTTTTATTTATTAATTAAATGTTTTGAGATTTGAGTGCAATTGCCAGTGGAACTAGCAGTAATCCATAAGGCGTTTTAAATCACTTAATTGACAGTGTCAAGATTATGAAATTATACAAGAATACATGCCTTGTGCAAATAATGGTTGAATCAAGTTGTTTCCACGTAATTTCAACCCAAAACATCTATGTGATGACGTTGAATCAAAGTGGAAAACTGATTGGGTTTGGAAAAAGTAATTAACATAAGGGCTTTTTTATTTTTTTTGTACTAACTTAAATCCAAAGACATGGCGAAATGTTTTTTGAT